AAAGGAACGGCAAGTCTGGGCTTAACAGGAGGCTGGCACATATGAACAAGGCATTTCAACTTCAAATTGCTAAATCAATTGCTATGAAGAGGAAAAAAATCATCAATAGTAGCAATGCAGAACTCTTGTTTGCCTGAGTATAGTACTAAAATTAATATAAATATTTATATTAACATAAAATCAACCTAAATGCGTTGTTCTCATAACTCTGTCCACTTAGCGCCTTCTTCTGACTGCTCGCTGCCTCCTCTTAGTTTATGTTCGAAGAGGGATATACAAAAAACCAGAGATAAAGTTCAGGTTACCAAACAGAACGCTTAGAATGAGCCTAAGAGTAGGAAGAACGGTAAGTGATAGCAAGGAAGGAAGGAAGGGACGGAGGGAGGAAGGGAGGAAAATCAGGAGGTGTACAATACACCAAAAGGTTATGAAGCAAGCTTGGGAGTGATGGAGTTGTTTTGATTCATATTCACTCTCTCCCCTCCCTCTTCTTTTGAAATTTATATTTTTACACTTTCTACAGTAAACCCACACAGGGAGGCATGCACCTCATTGTCCCTGCGTACCCCTCTCCGTAGGGGACAGACTGTGACTGTGTTCAGAGAACTGCAGAAAGGCCCATGAGCCTGACTGACTGGAGAGAGGATCGAAACAACAGAACGGAGTTCAATAAACGAGTGTGTTGGCCAGTGTGGTTCAGAGGAGAAATCAAGCAGAATAAGAGGAAATTACAACCCTCAGAGAAGTGAGTAATCTTCTGTGGATTTCTTTTTAAATGAGAAAATGAAGGAGTCTATAAATCAATTGTGACTTCTATCCAGAGACCACCTGACTTTTCGGGAATTCGGGACCAGTTTCCTTCCGTTCACACTTGGTGGGGGTGGTCTTGTGGCAACTCCAGGCTTAAACATCTAGAGCTCCTTTTCCAATGCTGTGTCCAAAGCGAGTTCCTGAGGGAACTATTTTAAGAATGATGTTCCACGACCTTCCCCAGATGGTTTCAGTATTTGATAATATTTGTCAGTGTCAACGGGAGGCTCCAATAAGCACGCTGTCGTGGAAATGGAATTTGTGGACGCCCGAGTCCCTCTTAGAAGAATGAGTAGGACCTGCAGGGGACCTCCCTCCCCTCGGCGTCCTTTACCGCTAGGCGACCTGTGGTACCCAGCGCTGTGCAAATGCTGTGTGAGCGTTTCCGGGGTTAGTGACAGGAACAGACGGCCCATACAGATCCCATACCGATGCATTTCCTCCCCAAAGAACTCCCTGCTGCTGTAGGCTGGACCCGAATGTGCAGACCCAATGAACGCGCAGGGCTGGCTCTTCTTAGAGAAATGGATCTGTCTTCAAAAGCACGGCCCGCCTGTCAGCCTCGCTGTGAGGGAGACGTTTCCTAAGAAAGCACTGTGAAAGCCAAGACCTTCTTTTTCCATCACGGACTAGCACGACTTTTATGACTGCGTGGTTATTTCTTTTCATGGCTCACAACGCAAAGGAAGCAGGGAGATACACCCGTGGCCCTGTCGCTGCGGCGGCATCCACTGCACACGGACTCCCGGAAACTTTCTTTTAAGAACACTGAGAAAGAACAAGAAGAGGGGACAGCACAGGCGGGCTGGAAGGAAACCTCAGATGGCCCTCGACAGGGCTCAGTGAAGAGCTCCCACAAGGACCCTCAGAGGCTCCGGGAGCCTCAGCCCCAGCCCCAGGCTGGGGCTGCCTTTCTGCGACCAAACACACAGAGGCTGGTTGCCTGCTCCAGTGGGGATCAAGGGCGAAGCGCCCCCGGAGCAGGCCCGGCCTCGGGTGGATGGCAGAGGAGCCCGTAGGGGGTGCCGGCCATAGTGGGTGTGCACAGTGAGTGTGCACGGTTAGTGTGCGCAGGGCGGGCGGCTTCAGAGCTGAGCCTCACCTGCAGGCAGCGGTCAGTCGGTCAGGAGGCCGAGGCTGGTGCCGCTCTGTGTCCACAACGTCCTCCGAAGTGCAGGACCCACGCGGAGGGGGTGCGTACGCGCGCTCGTGTGTGTGTGTGTGTGTGTGTGTGTGGCGTGCTGCGCCTCCCCCCAGTACACAAGGAGCTGCCACAGTCCTGTGAAGAGGTCTTGAAGGCTGAAGGGGTGACCGGGACGGTGCTCCGAGGCCGGCCGGGGAAAGGGTCTCGGGAGACAACAAAACTGCCCCACCTCCCACTCGGATTCAGCCTCCGGGGCTGTGAGAGGTTTCGTTGCCATCCCCGCTGCTGCTCTGCCTCACAGGGCCGTGCCTACCCCAGCCGTCCTGTGCTAGGGAGCCTCAGGCACAGCAGGTGGCAGCGGTGTCCCAAAAGCTAGCGGGACGCTCGCTGTGCTGAGGCTTAGGACTGAAGGGTCAGAGGCTTCAGGAGGCTATAGATCGCTCAGCTGGGCCGGAACAGGCTCAGGGTCCTCAGGAAAACACCGCTGCCTGGGAGGTGCGGGCAGCACAGGTCCTGGCCGCCGAGAGCCCGGAAAGCGTCCTCGCCAAAGCGTGGCTCTCGGGCTCCAGGCGCCAAGCTGAGCTCCAAGTTTCTGCTCTGATTTGTGGCACTTTGTTGCAGCGGCCCAAGGGCTAACGCAGTGTCTGCATAGATATTAATGAAATCGGGCTCTGGAGAAAGCGAGACAACAAACTGCCCAGCCTTCGTGTGTGTGCAGTCGAGGGCTGACGGATCGCTGCTGCCTCGCCCAGTCTAAGCTGTCTGGCTCGCTGCTCCCGGGGGCTGTGTTTTCTCCAAGGCATCTCAGCTTCAGGCCAGCTTCCAGGAGGCCGCTCCACCAGTGCTCAGGCACTTCGGCCCTGGCCTCTCCAGTCCATTCTCAGCACAGATTGCAGAACAAAGCTATCCTTTGCTCCTCAGGAGGCAATAAAGGGATGGAAACTGAAATAACTTGGGGAGCAGGTAGCCAGCTCCGACCCCTATCAGGATGCCGTGCTGCAAACCTGACTTTCTTTTTTCACGTTCACCATTGTTTTTAAGGATCAACATAATTTCCTTTACAATAAAATTACCAAAAGTTAGAAATCTGAAGTCAGGCGGCTGGGCAGTGTCCGGCACGATCACGCAGGGATCACGCAGTGGGTGGCAAAGCAGCGCGTGCGATCCCGAAGTGAATGCAGACTAACTGGAACCCATGCCCTTAGCACTCCACGCAGCTTTTACCCTCCTAGTCTGAATACGTTTTGTGCGTGAGAGTTGTGTGCTTACTGCATGTTTTCTCTGGTCTCTGCAGTAGGCGCCTCTGCTCAGCCTGTACACACTGCTAATTAGCACGTCACTCTACGTGGCTTAAGGGGCATTTTTATCGCCTATTTGCTCACAGTAGACGTCTGAGAACTGCCAGACTCGCGCTTTCCCCTCTCTTCAGCACCCAGCCACACCCCGCTATTCACATTACTTTAGAATACTTCGCAGCTCCTCTTGATCCCGGCACTGACCCAGGCCGCACCTCCAGCGCTGCGTCTCGCAGTCAGTCGAGTGGAGTCCCGACCAGCCAGCCCTCCTTGCCTCACTTTTCTCCTTCACAGTCTCTCCCTCATACTAATGTCGGTGTAAATTCTCCAAAGTCCACTCCCAATTCTCTCTTTATAAACCAATTGCCAACCAATTTGCATTGTACTGGAATAATTGAAAATTTTTTCCATACCCATTTTCTATTACTTTCATCGTGCTTACTTTTTCCCAATTTTCTCTGTGTGTTCACTTCTGGCACAAGATGTAATTCACTCCCATTAATCTGGCTGTGGTACGCTTACGTGCTTCTTCACCGTCTCCTGAGACCCTCCCATCCACACGTCAGCTGCTTAACATGTAGCTATTTATCTTTCCAGATCCAGCTCACGTTTTCTGTGAAAACCTTCCCGACCCCTTTCCTCTCCTCTTCCAACGTCCAGGCTTTTTGTTCTACGTTTTCATTCGCACTTGCTTTCCCTATAGAAGGCAAGTTCCCAGAGGCAAAAGATTGTGCATTACTCATCTTAGACTCTCCTACGAGCAATGCAGCACTTGATGCATTGAGGTATGTTTTGCAAATGCTTATTCAGGGAATGGAACTTTATTTCTTTTTGCCCTCAAAATAGACTATTTGTGGAATTTACGTTCTATATGAGAATGATCGAATAATCACCACAAGTCAGCACAGTCCTACCTCTTCTTGTCCTTTGGGCCTGGCTCTTCCCTGGAGTCATGTAAGAGAGAAGTGTATTTTCATCTTCATCCCACTCTACTTTCTCAAAGGCCTCTCATTCTGAATACGTTTGGAAACCAAGAAGATTATTCCCATTTTAATTCTGATTTTTTTTCTCTGAGTGAATAGAGCTTATGGGTGGTTATGCATGTTATTACCCAGAGAACAGGTGCATCTTTCTCCCCATCCTAAGGGGAAGAGCGAGGGAAACCTTCCACATACCAGGTGTGGATAAGGAGGGGACTACAGAGTCACTGTGAGGCTTTTGGGAGTGCGCCACTATCTAAACTCTGGATCCAGCAATGGAGCTCAGGGCTGAGACTGGCAGAGTTCGAGTCATTTGTGTCAAACTGAAGGACAGAAAGGCCAGATGGACACCTGATTTGCCACAGGCAAGTCCCTGAAAGTAATTCTTGTGAAAATTTTAGGGGCTACTACACATTGTTTATTATTAATATTTGCAGTCCTGGATGGAATTGGTTAATTATCAATACTTAGTAGGTGGTTTACAAAAAGAAAGAGGTCCCATTGACCACGTTTAAAAATCACTCCCACATCCAATCTCCTCTCTTTATTTGCTGCTAGAATTATTATAAGAGTAGATTTTAAAATACCTTCACTGAAGAGAAAGAAGTACATTTTTCAATATGCTGATCTTTTATGAAAAACACCTCAGGCTGAAGGGCACCAAAGGCTTCATCTCCTGATTGAAAGGTGCACTGAGGGAACAGAGGGCTGGGCAGGAAACAGGAAAGAACCTTTGCACTTGAAAGACGCAGACATAGCTTTGATACTTACAGCTGTCTTCCTCTTCTGTTATACATTTCACAACGTAGCAGGCGTAGACGAACCCTGCCAGCTGAAACAAAACAGAGGTGTTTTAGACACTAGGCACAGGCGCTATGGGGTGACATTTCCGAGACATGTGGTGTAGGACCGGGTTCTGGGCTCCAGAGTGACTCCTCAGAGTGGACCTGGACTGCAGTGTGGATCCTTGATCCCAGTGACATTCATCCGCCTTATAAGTAAACACACCACCCTGCTCTTCTCTCACAGTGCTGATGTCTACGACGCATTCATTTCCACATAATCTAAAACAAATTCTTTTAGGCGAAAAACAAAAAAGTAAAAGAATCATGGCCATTTGTCAATGAATTTAAGATTTGCTTTTGTGCCAGTCAACTTCTACTTTATTTTTCCTTTGTTCAGGGCTTTGGATTCTAAAACTGACTTCCTTCTGACCATCAGAAAAGTGACAAAAGAGAACAATATTCAGGAGGTTCTGTGGCATGTTGCATGAACTCTGAGAGAGAGAGAAACTTTCATTTAGACCCAAAACGGTGAGCAGGGCCTCCTAGGCAAGGATGACAGGTCAAGGGGAAATCACGAGAGGGACACCTGGAAGTCAGCAGTGGTGCCATCGTCTACTGAGTGTGGGGTTGTGCGCATCCCATCGCCCGGTGTGAAACACACCACAAAGGTGACCTCGGGGTCAGGGAAGTCCTTGCTCACAGAATCAGTGCTGCAAACAACTGCAGCCAAGACACTGGGATCCATCCCCTCAGATTCAGGGCTCTTCTTTTCCTTCACATCACTTGTAGAACACTCACCTTCTGAGCTTTGGCAGTAGGGAATAAATGAACATAATTTGTGGATAAGTCCAAAGCTTTCTTTTTAAACAAAAGCACTCCAGTTTGAGTCAATTCTGACTGGCAGGTGTGCAGAACATGGCTGAAGAATATAATGATGGCATTTCCAGCAAGCCTTGATATGGCTGTGTACTGATCCCACACAATTACATTCAGTGTGGGGAGGAGGGCATTTTGAAAGGCTGAAGCTCTTGGTCAGGCACCAAAGATCTGGGTGGAAAGGGGCTGCATGATAAGACCAATGGAGTTTGTCTCTCCATTAGCTGAGAGACAAAGACCCTCTTCAGCATGCGAGTGGAACACTTTTAAGTCAAACTGTATTTAATGAGCTCAGACCTATTTAGAGTCCAGTTAAAAGGTGCGTTTGAATATTTCTAATTTGACTTTGAAAAAAAAAGAGTGTTCTAGAAGATTTGGGCTGTTTCTGAAGAGAAGTAGCGTGGAATAAAAGAGAGTAGTCATCCTGGGAGGAAAGAGGAAGCAGCAGGGACTGCTCCCAGGGAGAATTGAGTCAGAAAGACCTGTTCAGCGTGTCCTTCAATGATTCTTGCAGCAGAGAGCCAATAAGAATGCCACTGAGGATATCTAAGCAGAATTAGTTTCTGTTTTTGACATTGTTTTTGGAAAAGTCACAAAATCAACTTGTTTACCTTTGAATTATGTGTTGCTATTGGTAGTAAAATAGTGATAATAAGAATTACTTCCTTAATGTGAAATCATAAAGATCTTTGTTTTTAGAGACTTATTTTTAGAATATAGGGGACTGGTTAGAAGTTAGTGTCTTTTTTTTTTTTTTTTTTTTTTTTTTTTTTT